CAACACCTGATCAGCTCCAATGTCTTACTGCCCAGCTCTCCCAGGCTGCTGCACCACAACAAGGCATGGAGCTCCAACCTGTAAAAAATGACCATTCCCTTCATGGAACCATAGAACACCTAGAAGCTCGAGTCTGGGAAGCGGCTGATTCCTCCAGTGGTGGAAGTAGAGTCCAGTGGTGAGTGAGGGGATTGGTGATGATCAAGGTTTTGACTAGGAGCAAGCCTGTTGATGTTGCTGCCCATAAATGAAAGAGCTCTTTTGAATAATTCGGGAACTTTCAAAGGTAATACAGTACTCCAGCGTTGTCGCGATAAAACCTGGTCCATATGGAAAGATTCGAGATCGGAAACTTAATCCCAGCCGTTGGAAATTTCAAATCTAGAATCTTCTCGAATCTGTTGGTTCTAGAATATTCTCGAATGTTTTGTCCATGTATAAAAAAGGAGCAGCCTCGAGTCCCACGCATCGATCAACGTTTCTCACAGTTACAAATCTCTTCTTCTTCTAAGTTCCAACAATGGCTTTGCACTTCTATGGTGGCAATGGCAGCAGCATCTTCGATCCCTTCGCGGAGCTCTCATCGATCTTGGCTTGTGGCAATGATCAGTCCAAGCAGATGGCCAGGGACGCGAGCGCCGTCGCCAACACTCGCGTGGATTGGCTCGAGACGCCCGAAGCGCACGTCTTCAAGGCCGATCTCCCGGGGCTGAGCAAGGAGGAGGTGAAGATCAGCGTGGAGGATGGCCGCACTCTCCAGATCAGTGGCGAGAGGAAGAAGCACGAGGCACAGAAGAGCGATAAGTGGCACCGCGTGGAGCGCAGCTATGGGAGCTTCTTGAGGAAATTCCGGCTGCCCGAGAGCGCCAATGTGGATGCGATCAAAGCCCAAGTGGAGAATGGCGTCCTTAGCATCACAGTTCCAAAGACCCCGAAGCCACAGCCAAGAACAATCCAAGTAGAGTAGAAGAAGTGATCTTGTAAATTAGGGTTCTTGGAAAGGATGGGAAAGTTAAAGCTCTTTGGTAGCACATTACATCGCCACTGGACTCTCTAGCTATGTAGGTAGGGTTTTTTTAGTCCCAGCGATCTGGAATGAGCTACAGATCTTCCGGCATGGCGCGCGTCTTGGCCGCATTGGCATTTGCAATCGCAGTGGCGAGCAATGCAGGCGTTGCGGAGCTCGGCACTGAAATCTTCCATGTCGCGGATGTTTTCCAGGAGGATTACGAGCAGATGGAGCAGCAGCTCAAGGTTTTCGTCTATCCCGATCCGGTTGTCTACACCAAGCTCGCGGGGAAATACGCGAGCGAGGGATATTTCTTCCGGAATCTCATGGAGAGCCGCTTTGTCACCACAGATCCGGAGGAGGCGCAGCTCTTCTTTGTCCCAATCTCCTGTGCGCGATTGAAAGAGGAGGTAAGAAGAAAATTTCAAGCGTTTTTCTCGATCTTCGCGTGATTGAATGACCGTGTTCTTCCTTCAAGGGCTTAGATCACGACGAAATCTCTGACAACGTCGCGAGCTTCGTGGAGAGCGTGATTGCGAAATTCCCATACTGGAACCGGACCATGGGAGCGGACCATTTCTTCGTGACTTGTCATGAGATTGGGACGCGAGCGACGAGCAAAGTCGCTCATCTCGTGAAGAACTCCATCCGGGTGGTTTGCGCTTCGAGCTATAGCGGGCCTTTCATTCCTCACAAAGACGTGGCCTTGCCACAGATCTTACAGCCATTTCCTTCGCCGAGAGGTGGAGATGACACTGAAAAGAGGTACGCTCTACTACACTTCTCGATTCTCCAGTAGAAGTTCTCACGAAAGAGCTATGTGCCAGAGAGACTCTTGGCTTTTGGGCCGGTCCTGCGAACTCCAAAACCAGGATCCTTCTGACAAAAACATGGCAGGAAGACTCGGATATGGTGATCAGCACGAAACACGTCGGGATGCAACAGTTCTACCGTAGCAAGTTTTGCATTTGCCCGAGCGGAACGCGCGTGAGCACTGCCAGGATAGTCGAATCGATCCATTTCGGCTGTGTTCCAGGCAAGTCCTATCGTCAAGTTAAGATCTCACCCGGGATGATCGTGCTTTTGCCGCAGTGATTCTCTCGGATCACTATGATCTTCCCTTCAACGACGTGCTCGACTGGAGAAAGTTCGCTGTGATTCTACCCGAGCAAGACGCCGGCACGCTGAAAGATGCTCTTGAGTTGGCTCCATACGCAACACTGCACAGAAATCTTCTCCAGGTACGCATCGAAAGCTCTCCTCGCGCTCTCTCGAATTTGATAATCGATCGATGGTTTTCACAGGCTCAAGCCCACTTTGAGTGGCACTCTCCACCGATCAAGTATGATACGTTCCATATGGTTATGTACGAGCTATGGCTGCGCCACTCCACCATTAGATATTGAGAGATTTCTTATCACTAAGTGTAATTTATATTGAATTGTTACTATAAAATCTCTATCTTGTAAAATTTTAATGTGGTGAGCTGGTTTGCCCGAGTGGTCTAAGGGGGGTGACTTAAGATCACCTGCATTCCAATGCGCGTGGGTTCGAACCCCACAGCCAGCAAATAGTTTTTATGCCTTACTTTTCTTTTTGAAAAGAGAATATTCATGAGCTTTGTTAGAACAAGGGCATTTTCCTCTCTCGGCGCTCTTCTTCCTTCCATCTGGACGATCCAAGAGCTCCAGCGCGTGTTGGATTCTCTCGATAGCGGGGATTTTGATCCCGGCAGTTCGCCGGCGGCGCGGCGCGGCGCGGCGATCGCGATCGTTGGAGCGTGTGGGGATCTTAGGGCGGGTTCTTGGCAATGCAGGAGGATCCGTGCGCTCGTCGAGCGGATCGGGCTCGGCGGCGATGTTGCCGTGGCGAATCTCATGGTAAATATGTATGTCCGGTGTGGAAATCTGGCAGAAGCTCGGGCGCTCTTCGAGGAGATCCGTGTCAAGGATGCCGTTCTCTGGACGGCTATGGCGTCGGCTCACGCCCACAGCGGACATTATGCCGCGGCCTTTCATCTTTTCCGGAAGATGCAGCTAGAAGGCGTTCCTCCCGATCAAGTGACGCTGGTGACGATGGTCAATGCCTGTTCTAGCGGCGGGGATTTCTTTCTTGGAGAGGGCAGGAATTTGCACGAACGTGTCGTGGAGCTCGGGTTGATCTCTTCCAATCCTTTCGTGGGAACGGCGCTTATCAACATGTATGGAGGATCGGGGAAGATCGATCTGGCAAGATCGATCTTTGAGCAGATGCCCAGATCGAATGCCATCCCTTGGAACGCGATGATAGCAGCATTTGCCAAGAACGGGCACTGCAGAGAGGCGATTGGGCTCTTGCGGGAGATGCTTCTCGAGCCTGTTGTTCCGAGCGGCACTACATTCGTGGCGGTGCTAAGCGCCTGCACGGATGTTTGCGAAGGGATCCAGATCCACGACAGAGTCTGTGAGAGCGGCCACCTGGGCGATGTGATCGTCGCCACCGCCTTACTCAACATGTATGGCAAACTTGGCTGCCCAGATCGCGCGCTGGAAATCTTCTCGGCAATGCGGCAGAGAAACATGATCACTTGGAACGCGATGGTGGCAGCGCTGGCTCACAACGAGCGATTCGAGCAAGCATTCGGGGTCTTCTGGGCGATGCAAGTGGAAGGCATCAAGCCCAGCGAGGCTACTTTTCTGGCAGCTCTCGCCGCCTCGTCGAATCTCCCGGCACACGGCAAGCTTCTCCATAGTTTGGCCGTCGAAGCTGGATTTCTCGGCAGCATTCTCGTGTCGACTGCACTGGTCGAGATGTACAGCCGGATTGGAAGCGTTTGCGAGGCAGCCGAGATCTTCGAGCGATGCAGTCCGAAAGACGTGGTTCTCTGGAACGCGATGATCACGGCGTATGCCCAAGCTGGTCATAGCAAGCAAGCGCTGGAGCTCTTCCAGGGTATGCAGACCGATGGTGTAAGTCCTGACTCGGTGAGCTTTCTAACGATTCTTAATGCCTGCTGCAGCCCAGAGTTCCTCTCTCGCGGCAGAGAAATCCACGCCAGGATGATCAAGAGCGGTCTCACGGAGGACGTGTTCTTGGGGACGGCGCTGGTAAACTTCTATGGAAAGGCTGGCAGTGTGGATGACTCGCGAGCAGTGTTTGACAGGATGAAGCAGCGGAGCTTGGTCACCTGGAACGCGATGATCAGCGCCTGCGTCCACGACGATCACAGCAGCATGCTCGTCTTCCAACGCATGCAACACGAAGGCATCAAACCGGACAAGCTTACGTTCGTCACAATCCTCAACGCTACCGGAACGAGCCTGGCCACAGGGAAGACGATCCACGGCTACGTTCTCGAGAGCGGCGTGCCGCTCGACTCCATGCTCGAGACCGCGCTGCTCAACATGTATAGCAAGGCCGGGGGACTGGATCACTCGCAGTGGATGTTTGATCGGTGGCAGAGCCGGGACGATGTCTCCTCGTGGAACACTCTCGTCACAGTTCTTGCTCGTCACGGTAGGGGCGATGAAGCTCTCAGTCACTTCTACCGGATGCAAAGCGAGGGAGCCAGGCCGAATAGCTCGACGTTCTTGAGCGTTCTATCGGGGTGTAGCCACTCGGGGCTGCTGTGGGAGGGGATCCAGTGCTTCTCCAGCATGGTCTGGGATCACAGAGTGGAGATTTGCGAAGAACACTTCGGCTGCGTGATCGATCTTCTTGGACGAGCTGGGAGGCTTGGAGAGGCCGACGAGTTTATCGCCAAGATGCCGCTGGATAGCAACTCGGTGGTGTGGATGTCACTGCTGGGAGCTTCCAAGATCCAGGGAGATGCCGGACGAGCAAAGCACGCGGCCGTCAACGCCATCGCCATTGATCCCCGGCACGATGCCGCTTACGTGGCATTGTCGTCAACGAGTTGACTTGGTCGAATATTCAGGACTCCGTACTACAAACATTCTGTGAATATTCTGCTCAAAGCTAAAGTAACCGTACGCTCACGAGGATTGTTAAACCCTAGGATTCTCTAGATTAGGTTGTTGCGGGGCGAGACGCGCTGAATGTAGGATCAGGGCGGAAGGATGCGCATCGCCGCGGATCCGTGTTTCTATCGCCGGGATTTCCTGATCTGCGCTATCTGCGCCCTGTTTTTGCTGCGCTCTTTTGCCGCCGGCGATGCATTGCCTGCGGAGAAAGCGCGAGGCATTGCTCCTGAAGGTGCGTTTTGCTCCTGGGCGATGAATCGAGCGTGATTGCTTGGCTTTGTCTGTCTAGATTTGAAATATTATCAGGGTGGGGGGCCTCTATGGTGCAAGGATAAATCCAAGAGCTTCGCATTATCTCGCCTTAATGACAATTATTGCGATTGTCCCGATGGAACCGATGAGCCAGGCGAGTAGTTTTGTTCTTCTATTTGTTTCCGACGCTCAGGGAATTGAGAATTTCTTTTCTATCGTGAACAGGGACTTCGGCTTGTCCGGAAGGCAGATTTTACTGCAGAAACGCTGGACACTCCCCACACTTCTTGTTTTCGTCCCGTGTGAACGATGGCATTTGCGGTAAAAGCTTTACGATGGATTGATGGACCGTGATGGCTCCTTTGGCAGATTGTTGCGACGGGAGTGACGAATACAATGGAAGGACGACTTGCTCGGACACTTGCTGGGAATCAGGGAAGAAATCCAGGGAGAAACTGGAGAAGAAAGTATCAGTCTACAAGGAAGGAGCGAAAATTCGTGCCAAAGATATCCGTCACTATAAGCACGCGAGGAAGCAGCAAGAAGGGGAGCTTTCTTCTTTGAAAAAAGAGGAAAAGAGCCTCAAGGAGATCACGCAGAAACTAAAAGGTACATCTTGTGATTTTCTTTTTGCACGTCGTTTCTATATGTCGTCAACTTCTCGGCACTCCAAGTTTTTTAGTTGCATGCTAGCACCATAGTGATGGCTGTTTGTCATTGACAGACTTCAGAGCGTTCCTGGTGCTCGAGATTTTTGTGATGGCTGGACTATTATGGTGGCTGGGCTTCGATCGCCTGTGTAGGAAAAATTCCATGAAAAAAAGGAGGTTGCCCCGGTGAAATTAATGTCTGATAGATTGCATTATCGAGTCAGATTTATCAAGTATGGTGCTAATCAAGATTCACGCAGTCGAACTGGAAGCTGTAGAGGAGGCAGAGAGACTGGAAAGAGAGAAGAAAGCTAAAGAGGAGCAGGAGAGAAAAGCCAAAGAAGAAGCTAATAAGAACGACACTACAACAGCAGCTGAAGAGATTGTACCCGAAGAGGTAAAGAAAACTAGTTTTCTCCTCGCTGACTTGATCTTCTGTTTGGCAGGTTCAAGAAGTGGTGACAAATGTAGACAGTCACGAGGTAATTTACTGTATTGTCGAGCCCAAAGGTTGATTTCTTCGTTGCTTACAGGCTGACAATGAATTATCTCAGCAAGTAAAGGTATTTAGCTTCTCTTTTCAAAATTCTTGTTTCCATATCGCAGTGTCAGGAAGGAGAAACAGAACACAAACCTGAGCCTCCGGCTGCAAGCGAGGTCGAAACGGAACCGGAACATTCAGAACTGGAACCACCTGGAGTCTCAACGGAAGCAGAGCAATTAGAAAGTAAACCTCAGCTTCCAACCGAAGTCGAAGTCGACACGGAATCTGGGCTTGAGCCTGCCGACGACTCTGAATCAGAGGACACTGACGGCCTGTCGAAAGAAGAGCTGGGAAAGCGTGTTGCTTCTCGATGGACCGGTGGGCCTTCGTCCGAAAGGGAAGATAAAGGTGAAGAAAAAGTTGAAGAAGAATACGATGGCAACGATGACAAAGATGTGTACTCCGGGCACGACGACGACGACGAAGACGATAACTATGACAATTTTGGATACGACAGCCATAACTACACAGGTATGAAAGCTTCTAGCTTTTAAATATCTCTTAGTGACTCTTGTGTCCAGATTCATCCGAGAAAGCCGATACTTCATGGTGGCAGAAGCTACGCCAAGCTCCTCGGGCCTTATTGACTCTATTGGGTCTGAAGAGAATGCATGTTGATGCTTCAGGTTCGCATTTTAGCCTGTTTTTACTGGTTGCAGTAAAACGTTTTGTGTCGTTGCAGAGGCTGATCGTATTCGTAGTGAGTACCGGCAAGCAAATAACAAGCTGAACGACCTGCAGTCGAAGATTTCCGAACTCCAGAAGAAGCTCAAGCAAGATTTTGGTGGCTAAAATCCGCTTCTTCCTTGCTCGAACTTACTAACCCCTTCTACTTTCAGGGAAAGAAGGAGAATTCTTTTCTCTTTACGATCAATGCTTCGAAAGGAGGCAACAAAAGTACGCTCTTTTTTTCTTTTCTTTTCTTTTTCTTGGCTTAAATCTTGCACCAGGTACGTGTATAAGGTCTGCCTTTACAAGGACTCAACGCAGGAAGAAGGCCATTCATCAACACGGCTGGGGTGCGTAAGATTCTGCATGCTTACTCTCTCTTATATTCAAGTTTTGTACACAGGTCCTGGGAGGGATTCCTGGACGATTACAAATCTATTAAGTTCCAGAATGGAGATCACTGTTGGAATGGGCCGCAACGAAGCTTAAAAGTAAGTAGTTTATACTTATTTTACTTTGTTTCGTTTAGCTCGTTGATTACTTTCCAGGTGAGGTTGCGATGCGGGCTCAAGTCAGAACTCTCGGATATTGAAGAACCAAGCCGCTGCGAGTATGCAACATCTTCCTCTCGCACTAATTTTCGTACGTGCTTTCTTCTTTGCAGGTATGCTGCTAGTTTCTGGACACCGGCTGTTTGCTACGAGGAGAGAGCGAAGGTATGAAATCCAAATTTTAAAACAAAGAGGAGATCACCGTTGGTACTCCAGGAATTACAAGCTCAGCTGGATGCCTTGCGAGCAGGGGCAATAGTACCAAGTCACGATGAACTCTAAACTAATTAAAATTGATGGTAAGAATAATCTTTATATTTACAGAAAGAACTTCTTTCAAGTCGTTATAACTTATTCAATTTAGTGGATCTAAATTAAGGTAAAAAATTAATGTGTTGTGAGATGACCAACGCTATTTTAAGTACGTACTGTTTAATGTCTGAGCCCGGGTTCGAACCGGGGACCTCTAGTGTGTGAGACTAGCGTGATGACCAACTACACCACCCAGACTTACGATAGTTAAAAAGGCCTGTGGGTATATACTAGGTATATATTCACTTTAGCTTTTACAAAGTGTCGTGTTTATTTACATTCACGGCATTACACACCCTTCTGATCTCCCCATTCTCTTTCGTTTTCCACCCGATGCTTCCCATTCTTACCATAGATTGCCCAAAATGAGACGCAAACTGCCTGGAATTGTAGGCGTAGGATCGAACAAGTCCACTCGTGCGTTCGCTCTCGAACAGCACCTGGTCAGAGGTGAGAAGTCCGTTCCTCCGCTCCAAATTCTTGAAGTAGGAGTTGTCAAAGCTGAACTGCGAACCCCTGTCAAGCTCCACCGTGTTTGCGGACCCATCGCGCGGGCATCTGCTGCGGAGGTGCTGCAAGTACGCAGGATTTACTGTCTCGTCGGCTCTGCTCGTGTTCCTGAAGTTGTACAGGCGGTCGAAGCGGCCGCTCGCGAAGAAGTTGCATTTGGAGGTTCCCAGTGTGTGAGCTCCTGACAAATTAAAGTCGATCGATTCCAAATCCAACTAGCAAAGTCGAATGATCTCACCTGACAGAACGACAAGGTCTTCAACGGACAAGCCTTGGTTCTTGAAATTTTTTATGAGAGTCGAGGCGTCCATGGATGGCGATGGTAGAAACTTTGTGGCGAGTTGCAAGCTCGACACCCGTCCATCATAGCGTCCAGTGGCTACTTTGTAGTGCTGGCCTCCCATCTATACGAATCGAAGGCCCAAATATGAGAGAAGACGAAGAAGAAGGAGAAGAAGAAGAAAAGATAGCTATGGTGGAGCGAAAAATCCACTATCAATCAAGAACTCACCCTGACAGTTGAATCTCTTGCGGCGATGGCCACAGTGTCGGCACAAGAAACTATACCAGGACAAGCCTGTTCCAGCCTTCTTTTCGCATCCTCGATAATTTCAAATCCTCGGACGGAGTCCCGGTTTGGAGGAGCGAATCTCTCGACATTGGTACCGTCTGTTGGAGTGGAATCGAGAAGGATGGAGCCATCGCAACCCTGGTGTGATCAGGCAAGGTGAGAAAACTGGTGAATTCATCTTGTAGCTAGCTTACGTTGACGAAGCAGTCGTGGAAGTGCAAGCGAATCAGTCCCGCGGGGATTGTTGGGTCCCGGCTAGCATGCTCGTTGATCGTGTCTCGGATGATCCACTCCGCATTTGGGCAAGTTCTTTCATAGCTGTGCGATGCCAAAACATCCCTGGAGCTGATCAAAGGGAGCAATACTGCTACTAGTGTCCACACTGCTGCTCTCTTTGGAAACGCCATATAGTACATGGATTGGATTCCAACTGATCTTGCTCGATAATGGAAGCTATGAATGTGTGGAGTTGTGGTTTTATACGAACTGTGAGAGAGAGAGAGAGAGAGAGAGAGAGAGAGGCGAGTTCTTCTTTGTTGAAAAGGTCAGCCTTGACTATTGACTACGTAATATTAGCGTGTGGCATGCAAAAAATAATGGCTGCTCGTTGGTGAACAGTTCTTCGTCATCACCTGATGCGCGGCGGCAATTTTGGCCTTGCGTGGAGTAGCGATCGATCATATAGAAGATTCGTTGGTACAAATAAAAAGTCAAAATAGATCTTCGATACAGGGTTAAATTTGGGTGACGGATTTTTTTGAATGGTCCATGGAAGGCTGCTTGCCAGGCAGGGACGAATCTCGAGCCGATGGCTTTGGATTCGGCGCTTGTGCGATACAAGGAAGGAAGAAATCCATGAACGATGCGTTCACGGTGTACAGGATGGGGCTTGAGAAAGTCTTGGTTGAGCATGGGCACTGCAAGGAGGAGGAGGATAAAGTGTTGTTCGTGGGAGTTTATGACGGCCATAAAGGTTCTCTAACATCCAAGCTCTGTGCTGACAATCTGCACAAGGATCTCGAGACTAGGATGAACAAAGCGAGGAGGATGTTTGGGATCGCCAGCGCCCAAAAGGCGGGATCGACTTCGTCGATAACACATCAGAGTCTGTGGGATTCCTTTCATGCCATGGACAAGATCATGGAGAACGGGGTTATGAAATCAACTGATCTGAGTTTGAGCAACAAGAACTGGCTGAGGATGGTGGGAAGCACGGCCATCGTGGCGCTTGTTTACAAGGAGAGGATCGTCGTGGCAAACGCTGGGAATTGTCGATGCGTGCTGTCACGAGACAAGGTGGCGGTGGATCTCTCGCGGGATCACTCGCCGGAGCTGGAGATGGAGCGCAAGAGGATTGAAGCGTGCCATGGATTTGTAGAGAATGGCCGCCTTTACCACTGTAATCGCGAGGCTAACCTCAAAGTGTCGCGAGCGATCGGATGCTTGATCTTCAAGTCCAAGGGTGGTGAGAAAAGGAAGATGGCTGCAAGGAGAACTCTGTTCAATCGACGAAGTATGCTCGAGAGAGACGAAATGGGGTTTAGCACCACTCGTCCAGGGCTTCATTTCAGGGATCGTCATGGTAATTTCAATTGTTGGAATGATCGTCCACGTGGAGGCGACGAGCAATCTTATGAGAGGCGCCTTGACAAGGAATTTATGATGGAGACTGATCCAGAATGCGAGGCAAGAACGAGACTGTCACTCGGATTTGATCACAATCCAAGCCCCGGAATGAATCAGCCCAGCGCAAAGCTTGACAAGCCTGACAATAACGAAGACTATAAGAAATGCCCAAAGGTGATTTGCGAGCCAGAGGTGACGGAGGTGGACATCGAGCACGGGGACGAGTTCCTGGTGGTGGCTAGCGATGGGATTTGGAGTGCGATGTCTAGCCAAGAAGTGATCGACTTTGTTGGAGAGAGGGTGCAGTGTTGCAAGGGTAGGATATCGGATGTGTGTTCTCAGCTCATCCATCACTGCCTTGACAAGGAAGCTTGCTCCAGAGACAACATGACCGTGGTAATCATCAAGCTTTGAAAGCTTAACGTTTCATATGAGTGTTTTGCGTTGATCTTTCCTATATGAAGTTATTTGCTCCCAAATTATGTTATTTTATATATAAGCTAATCATATAATTGCAATAATAAAGATAATCCAAGACTTTAATTGCATCAAATATCACTTGATATCTTATATCACTTATATTTTCTTGGAAAATATAAGGTTCCTTATTTCATGATTGGCAGAGGAGGGTAAAATGCCTAAAAATGTTTTTGATATCCATTACAATTTATTGAGTTGCATAACGGAAATCTAAGTGGTAGCACCACACAAGCATTTCACTATCAGTATTCTAGCAAGGGCGAGAAAGTATGAATCCTTAGGCTAAATGTGCTACAATGTGTGATTTACCCCATGTACAAGCCTAGTGTGGAGGAGATGTGAGAGCTAGGAATGCCACAAGAGTAGTAGTCAACATAGAACTCAAGGGTATATTATGGATTTAAGATAACCTACTCTAAGTTGAAACTTTTAAGGTAGATAGATTATGCTTTATTATCTTTGTTATTTAGAGCCAGGTCATAATATTTATATCAAAAGATGATTGATTAAGATGAATGCTAGAATCCTAATGTTGATAGTGGTGCTAATGCAACACAATATTATTCATGAGATGTAAACCTAACAAAAATCAACAAAAAAATGCAAGAGGAGATGCATGGCATGATAGTTACCATGTGTGGGTGTGTTGAAGCACTTAAATTGGTAGTGGTGGTGTTCTAAGTAAGACTTCTTTAGTATTGCTATACCACCCCTGAAGTAAGTCGACCTGAATACCCCTTCCCGGCAGCAAGAATGACCACGATTTGCACCTCCAAGGGCATCGGGGTGTGTTGAGGTTTAAGATTCTAACTTTTTTATGTGATTATTTAGTTTAGCTAACTAATGTGAATTTTTTTTTAAATTGTAATGTAACACACTTGAATTTAAAGTTGAATTCCAAGCCTATTACATTTGGTACATTCTTAATCCTACAAGCACTAGCTCCCCATATTTAGCATCTATATGCAAAATAGTGGCAAACACAGTAAATTATCATATAATGATATTAAAGTATTAGACTCAATATTGTGAATGTTCTTGATACTAAAAAGTGCAAGCTAATGACATAAGTTTCTCAAACCAGGCTGAGTATGCTTAGCAAGAAACACATAAATATTATGTTTATCCAACTTAAGTATACATGCATTAATCAGTTTTTCAACTAGTTCAAGTGGGAACTATAAAGGGAACCAATTGTATCAATTTCTTACCATCATGGTAGTAATAAGAGAGTGTCTATAAAGATTAGTCAATAAATATCTTTCGATACCCAAAGTCATATTTACAACATGAACTATCAAAGAAACTCTAGATATAAAAGTTTTAGTAGTTATTCCAATGGTTTTATAAGAATTAGCTTGAGGAGTCTAGTGTTACAAACAAAAAACCATTAGTGTCTATTATAAATGAGTTTAAGACTACTTTTCATCTACATTTTGCTCTTTATTTTAATATGGAAAATGGTTACATAGAACTTTGATATTTTTAACAAGGGAAAATGATACCTAAGGATTATATTGAGAACCTTGATTACTTGTGTTTTAAAGAAGGATCTTGATCAAAACAAGTCTGACTTCATTGATACCCTTTATAATAAAAGCATGAAGTAACATTTGTGTCATTCCTAATATAGTGCATTTGGTTTTTACCCTTTATCCTATGGTGATTTACCATAGAATAACCACGGAAGCAGAACCTAAACCCTCCATATGCCATGTGTCACATGCCACGTGTCCAAGAGACAGTGGTGTGGAACCCAAGTTTCAAGGCCTTGGGCCATTGAATGAAGGAACAGTGCTAAACTTCCAAGCATGGAGCTAAGGAGCAATGGCACTGGAGTATAGAATGACTCTCGAGTATACAACCCAAGGAGCAAAAGGATAGGAGTACGGAGCAATTTGGATCAATCCTAAAGCAACTAGGACTTAGCATGTAAAACAAAGCCAAATAGAGTTTGATGCAATTTCAGCATACTGGAGGCCTTATATGAAGATATGGGTACTCCACCAACTAGCATGGGATGAAACTTGGGCTTAGACCCAAGCCGGACGCAAAACAAGGATAGGCATGCAAGCAGGAGCTAGATTATACCTTAAATTAGTCAGCCATGCCCGACCTACCCACTATCCCTATTTTACATTTGAAACCCCCTATAGTCCCCCCCCCATTTGGGACCAAATTGAAACTAACATAAAGAGCATGATAACAAGGGTGTTTGGTAAATATAGTAAACTATCATTTAGCAAATATTGAGGGACCAATATCAATATCGTGAGGGTTCTTATCAAGTCAATGCAAGATAGAGCAAAAGAGAATTAACAAACCGGGCCAAGTATGCTTAGCTAAATAGACACTTAGGAATTCCTTCCTTATGCTCGTCTAACCAAGTACAGATGCAAAGTCTAGTTTACTAACACTTGAATAAGAGGGATTGATAAAGGGTCCAACAATACCAACTTCCTGCTGTCGTGGCAGTAAGGAAAGAGTGTCCGTAAGGACTAGCCGACAAGTAACTTTTGATACCTAAAATTACATTCGCGACATTCTCCCCCTCTTAGGGAAAATCGACGTCCTCATTGATGCATACTCCAGTCTAAACCACTGCTAAGGAAACAACTCTAGAAAAGAGTTCACAATGATCAAGAAATGCACTAACTTAAATCAGTTAGGAAGCAACCTCTTTGTCTAACGTGGATACGCTACCAGCTCAAACACCTTCTAGCTGTCGCTGATAAGGAAATGACTAACAAAGTCAACCACCCTTGTTGCTCTGAGTGTCACCTAGCTTACAAAAGTGTGATACACCCTTGCCCACATGTGGTATAGAAAGAGAAGCCAGAGGCCCCAATCCTCTTGAGCAAAGAAACCAAACCCGTTGGTAAGGTTTAGATAGACTACTATAAACAAACAGTTACAATTGTTTACATGGTCATGCCCTTTTAATAGAATAAGGAACATCAACAGAGAAGCAGGTTGTATGACCAGTCAACAGTAGCTACCTTATGATTAAAGATTTCACTATGCATATGAAGTGCCAAAGCCAGTCTACTTATACTGGCCCAAATTCAAAGATCAATAGATGGATAATATCAAAGTCAAAGACAATGATATCTTAGAGTCTTAATTATCAATGAATAAATCTTAAATTAGAACACCAAAAGTATTCCAAGTAAGTTATCATCCGATAAACCAGTATTATAGGATAAGAACCACCAAGATCACTATAGTTGGAAAATATAGGATTCACTATCTAACAAAATTCAATAGTAAGTATACCATCAATAACACTTAACTCTTAAAG